TGTTTTCCTAAAGTAGTAAGGCGAAGTGGAAAGATGCTACCAAGCAACACTTGCATAAGTATGACCTGTCACTGATATTCAGTTTGGTTTTTGCTTGCTCTGGTTCTGACTTCATTGCAACATTAGTCCAAAAATGAACAAAGGGGCTGAATTTCAGAGGTGTATGCAACTATCCTGAAGAGTAGGGAGAAAAGTGGTCTACTAGTTTTTGAAGGTCAGTTATCCGATAGAAAATTAATCATTGATTTGCCAGATGAAAATGTTTTAGACTTTGGACGGTGCGCTGCAAAATTTCTGCAGGGATGCTGCAAGGCTCAGACAACTGACCTTCAAAAACTAGTAGACCACTTTCCCCCCTAATCTTAAGGATAATTGCTTAGGTCTCTGGAATTCAGCTCCTTTGTTCATCTTTGGAACAATGTTGCAATGAAGTTAGAAACAGACTGGGCAAAAGCCAAACTGACTATCAGTGACAGGTCATACTTACGCAAGTGTTGCTTGATAGCACCTTCCACTTCGCTGATAATTGAGAATAGAGCAAAAGAGTCGTAATTGACCAGTTTCGATTTGTTATATTTGTGAACAGGGCATAACCAGACAATTTTCTAGTCTGTCAAGTAGTTGTCAATGTTGCAGCTGTCCTGCAGCTAGTGTTAACAATGGGGCACATGTTGAAAAGTTATTCGGTCATATATCTAGTCTTTCATATCCAATATACTGTTCTGTTTTTACTGATAGCACATGGAGCAAGTTGAATAGGCCGAAGATTAGCATTGGTGAAGGGAAAAACCAAGATGGATAATACACTCAGCACGCTGACTTAAGTTGTTACATTCAATCATTCCTGCCCTGAGGGTTGCTGGTGGTGCTGTTCATGAAACTAACTTCTCCCATTTTCTGAAGAAGGGTCTAGGCCCGAAATGTCAGCCTTCCTGCTCCTCTGATGCTGCTTGGCCTGCTGTGTTCATCCAGCTCTACACCTTATTGTCCCCCTTCTCCCATTAGTTGTTCAATTGTCTACCACCATGAATGCGAGGATGTGGCAGGACTGCAGCATTCTTATCTGATCTGTTGCTTGTGTGAATAGCTGTGTTAACATGCTGTTTCCAGACTTTGGAAAAATATTGCCCTATACAGTTGCTTCACCAGGTTGATAACTCAATTTTAAATATACTTTGGGCTGCACCTGGTTTACTTTGCCACATTCTACATTAAATCTATGTCTGGCTTGACCTAAATGGTGGAGTTTGGAACATATTCGTTCATGAGGTTACAGATTGTGGTGCAATATAGTTTTGCTGTTGGTTATGGTCCAAACACCCCAAGATGGCCAACTTTGAACGCTAGATCAGTTCTGAATCCATTCCATTTAGATGAAGGGTATCCTTAGCACGAAGATGGGATTTCATCTTCACAAGGTCCAACAGGTGCATACCAAACCATACCATCATGGATAGGTATATCTGCGACAGGCAGTTGATGAGAACAAAGTCAAGCCAATTTTTCCGTCATTTTGGTTGTTTCATTACCTGCCAAAGATCCAGCTTGGCAGCTATGTCCTTCAGAACTTGGCCAGTAAAGTCAGCTTCCAAGACATTCTTGGTGGTAGACAATAACACCAACCCCCTCCCCCCCCCGTATACTATGTGCCGTTGCTAGTGGGTTGGTCGTAAAGAACAGATATTTTCTTGCCTATCATTAACATGATGCCACCAGACTTACTGGGATGCCGAGTCAATGTTCAGGAGTACAAGGGTCACTCCTCCCAACTGTATATCATCGTGCCTGTATCTCTGGTATCATGCGGAGGTGCTGGTGTTGGACTGGGATGGACAGTGAAATCACTGTTCTGAGAGTGCTAAAGGTTTTATCAGTGTAAAGAAGAGGTGACATTTTAGGTCAGACAATGCATTTTAGGTGCGAGGCCTTCTTTAGAATCTATTTGTGTTTTGGTATGGAGTCAGACTGGTTTTATTTCCAAAATAGGGATTTATAAAATGCAACATTGACTGACTGTCCATAGTGACTTCAAAATAATTCGGGGATTTACATATATACATTAATCAATTAAAACCTTCTAACTGATTAAGGGTTTAACAGAATCTTAGGTTTGTTTAGTACACCCTCATCAGTGGTGTGACCCTTTGATCTTTTACATAGAAATTCAGTATCTGATACTACCTCTCTCACTAACACCTGAAGGAGAGGTAAGGCTCCGAAAGCTTGTGTTTTCAAATAAACCTGTTGGACTATAACCTGGTGTCGTGTGATTTCTGAACTTACCTCTGGTGTGACAGAACATTCACAGAAATCGTTATGGAGGAATCTGGAACTTTGATTGGATTGTGTAATTCTAAGTACAATTACATCAGGCTGTTTCTCAACTGATCTGTGGGACAGCTCTTCAGTTTTTGCACAAGTTGCCAAACTTTAACAACAAGGTCTTTGGGTCTGTCTTTATCATGTCCATATTAGTGTCTAGTTGATGCTAGTGAATCTGTCCAATTAGAATGACCTTTCTGATGCTTTCAATCAGACTTATTACTTTAGACTCCAACTTGAAAATTTATTGTGCTGCCAATCGCTGTAACTGAGAGCTGATAATGGGTTGGCAATTTCAAAATCAATTGACAGGGATCGACTGAAATCTAATGAGTTAGAGGGAGTTAGAAAGAAATAAGATGAATCAGGTGTCAAATCAAGCAATGAAGAAAATAAAGTGAGAGAAAGACAGACTAGGTTGAGGGGGAACAAGAAGGACAGAATGAAAAAGCAGGTATTTATTTCAAAAGCTTACATGAATCATTTGAAAAGCACAGCATTTGACATATTATTTCAAATTTAATCTCAAGGGCAATTAAGGATGGGCAATTTATGCTGATTTAGCCAGTGGTGTCCATAACCTGTGAATGAATAAATCTAAGAAAAACACAAAGTAGGGGATGCTGGGAATACTCAACAGGTCTAGGGCTTTTCATCTGATGTACTGTCACAACCCACAAAGTTAACTCTGTTTCTCTCTCTACAAATGCTGTTGGATCTGCTGAAAATTTGTATCGTTTCTCTTTTAATTGGAAACGCTAATCCTTTGATTAAAAACAAGATGTGCGCTAAAGCTAATGACTACAAGCCAATTAGCCTAATGTCAGTAGTAGGGAGACCATTAGAAACAATAATCAGAGCCACATTTAATTGGCATTTGGAAAGATTGGAAAGATAAGTCAGCATAGAATTGTTAAAGGTACGTTGTATTTGATAAATTTGTTTGAATTTTCCAAGGGTTGAGATGGGAAAGCTGTTGTTGTGTACATGCATGTAGACCTCTCTGATATGTTTGATGAAGTACCATATAATAGACTTGTCAGTAGAACTGGAGTCCAATAAATTGAAGGTGTGGTGGGTAGGAGAATACCAAACTCGCTAAGGGACAGAAAGCAGAGAGAAGTGGTGAATAGTTATTTTCAGATTGAGATCAAGTGTGGAGTTAATTGCCCTTGAATGCAATATTAGAAGCAGTGCTTTTTCTCATGCATATTAATAGTTTGGGCCTGGGTATACAGGCATATTTTGAAAGTTTGCAGATTATGTAGAAATTTGGTATAGCAATGGATTTCAGGAGGACATTGAAAGACCAGGGGTTTAAAAAACAAAGCACACAGGCGGCAGGTGAATTTCAATGGGGAACTGTGAAGTAATTTTGTTAGGAAGAATGACATGATAATAGTAATTTAGTGGTACAACTTTAAAGGGGCACAAGTACAAAAATTAATAGAGTCAGAGTAATACAGCACAGAAACAGACCCTTTGGTCCAACTTGTCCATGCCGACCTGATAGCCCAAACTGATCTAGTCCCATTTGCCAGCATTTGGCCCATATCCTGTTCACAAATTTTTGTAAGCAGCAGGCCAGGTTGAGAAGGTTGTTTTGGAATTGCCAAACAATGATTTCTCTTTCTTCAGCCTTGCTCACTCTGGCTACACTTATTATGGTTGTCTAACTGATCAATTGCCAATTTCTCAGGAATGGGTTCCAATATGTTCCTGACACTGATGTCTGTCTGTATTTTTCTGGAAACTGTCCTCCTTTTTTGAATAGCAGTGATAAAAATAGTTTATATTTTCAGCCACTAGTTCTGGAACCCTCAACAACCCCTCCACCCCCCCCCACATTCCTTCAGAAGTGCAAGCATTTTTCTATACCTACCCTGTCGAACCTATACAATTTGACATCTATTATAGTGTCAAGGCCAAAAGGATCAGGGACAGGTACTAAGTAGAGGTCAATCATCTCATGAAATGACAGAATAGGCTTGTGATAGTCAATGGCCATTTCTTGTTCCAAGATACATTTAAGATCACATGCATGGGAGAGAGTTGAATAATTAAAGGAAAAAGTGTTGCAAATAACAACCTCATGAAAGTACTGGAATTCAGAAAGCATTTTAAACCACTACTTTTCATAATGAAGCAGGAATATATCTCAATAACAGGAAAATCCTTTTGGGATGATCTTGAAACAGTGACTACCCAATTTGGAAAAGCATGGACTACATACCGAGGTTTTTCACTGACTTTTTGTTTCACCACTTACGACCAAGGTCACATATATGGTGACTGAATAAATAAAGTTCTGTTTCTACAATATTGAGAAATCACATTCTGCAATTCACAGTACAGGGTAGGAGGCGGCCATTAGTCATCAGCTTTTGTAAAGCGAATCCAGTTAGTCCCGCTCTCCACTCTTTCCCAACATTCCTACCAATTTTAATCCTTTAAATATTCAGTCAATTTCTTTTAGAAGGTAGTGTGGATTCTATATCCAATGCCCAATCAGAAGTGGATTCCAAATCTTAACCACTCCTTTGTTTTAAAAACTCTTTCTGCATGTCACTTGACTCTTATCCCATTTATTTTATCCATAAAAATTACAAACTACTGACCCTGCTGGCAAAGTAATTTTATTTACTGTCATGCCCCTTTAACAAACAAAATGGACCCACCTTTGCCTCTCAGGTTCCCCATCTTCCACCTCATCAGCACTGCAAGTTGCACTTGAATCATTGTCTGAGTGAGATTCCACCTGTGCTCCAGGCTGCGGCAGATCAAGTAGCTCTGATGCCACTGTTTCCTGCTGTCTGGCCTTCTCAAATTGTTTGTCTTTGGCATCAACCTCCACTTTAACCTGCAGATTTTCTTCTGGTTTCATATCCACATCCACAGGTTCAGTTTTGGGCTTCACCTGAGGCTCAAACACAGGCTTTGCTTCAGCATCAGACCCCCTCTGCCCCTCCATTGACTCCTCAAAGCCTAAGTTCATTTCTTGTTTAACTTGCAGTTCAGGCAAAGCAGCAGCTGGAGCTGGTGAGACAGGTGGAATAATTGGAGAACTTTTGCTTGTGGGATTGAGCTCTTCTTCAGTTAATTTGTTCGTCTCTGTACTTTCTTTGCTTGACTTGCCTGTGTCCACAGGTGATGGTGAAGGTGCACTTTCAGTATCTGAGCTGTTCTCAGCTCCTGGGAATAAATAATTTACATTCATTTGTCACAATGGGATTCGTGGGACAAGAATAATGAAGGAACAAAAAGTAAAGCACAAGTTATGCAAACTTGAAACAAATACATTATCAACTGAGATTCTTTTCCAGGTATGTGTAGAAAATGATCATCTAATGAACAGTCATTTATCCCAATAAACTAAATATGCATAAATTGTCCTAACAATTCTGAGTCGCTACAGGATATACAAGATAGAGGGTCTAAAAACTGGACAGCAGGTTTCTGGGATTGGGTGCCATCAAAAATTAACACTTTTCCGCTCCAGCATGATAATATGTTGAACGCTGAACATGAACTTTGTGTAATTAAACCATTAACCCTTTTAACACAACAATACCACGAGAACTCAGGAATCCTTTCTGAATCAATGTTGTTGTATAGAAAGATGATCACAGCCTGGCTCAGTAATGGAAATATTGGGTGAAGTTAATGATAATCTAACAGAGTAGGACCAGCAGAAGCCAAATACACTCGAAGATACCAAGAACTGCAGATGCTGGAGTCAGAGTCAACACAGTATGGAGCTGCAGGAACACAGCAGGTCAGGCAGCATCAGAGGAGCAGGAAAGTCGACGTTAGAGGTCGGGACCCTTCTTCTGAAGTTCTGAAGAAGGATCCCTATGCGAAACGTCGACTTTCCTAATCCTCTAATGCTGCCTGACCTACTGTGTTCCTCGAGCTCCACACTGTTGACAGAAGACAAATACAGTTCTGCCGTGTAGATGAGTGGAAGCTAAGTATCATTTTGCAGTATGGATACTAGCAGGTAGTGTATTTGACTCAGTGCAGACACAAGTTTGGGGATGGCAGTGTTTTTGACAATTCTGGATTCTTCCTCTCACTTCCCATCCCAAACCCCTGGCCCATGCAAAGTTTTAAACTTATCCAAACAAATACTAACAACTCCAACACACATTGACACTGATTCCTTTATACCTTCACTGTCCTCTGGATTCTCCTCCTCATTGGACACTTCATTGTCCTCATCTTCTTGTGCAGACACAGTTGAAGCAATGCTTTCGCATTGAGACACTTCCCGGTCCTCACGAGATCTCCGTGACATCTGTTGCTGAGGAGAAAGATGATGTGAAAAAACTCCTGGGAACTACATAACTCTGCACCCATGACATCACTCTCACAAGACAACCTTAAAGGCCTACATCACAGAAAAAGACCCTTCAGCCCACTGAGCCTACAGTGAACAAAAACTACCACCTCACAATTCTAATCTTGTTTTCCAGCACTTCGACTATGGCCTTGTATGCCTTGGCATCGTCAAGGCAGGAAAGACAGTAGGGACGAGAGTAAATCACTTAGCCCCTTGAGCCTGTGCCGCCATTCGATGAGATCATAGCTGATCTGTGGCCTCCATGCCTTTGCCCCTTATTCCTCAATATAGGGGGAGGCGGTGGCCTGGTGGTATTATTGTTGGGTTGTTAATTCAGAGACCCAGATAATGTTCCGGGGACCCAGGTTCGAATCCCGTCACGGCAGATGTTGGAATTTGAATTCAATAAATATCTGGAATTAAGAATCTAATGATGACCGTGAATCCATTGTCGATTGTCGGAAAAATCCATCTGGTTCACTAATGTCCTTTAGGGAAGGAAACTGCCATCCTTGCCTGATCTGGCCTACATGTGACTCCAGACCCACTGCAATGCGGTTGACTCTAAAATGCCATTTGGGCAGTTAGGGATGGGCAATAAATGCTGCCTGGTCAACGACACCCTGATCCCATGAATAAATAAAGAAAAAAAAAAATGTTATTCAGAAAAATGTAGCAGTCTCTGCATTTTCTAACAACACCTTCCAAACCCAAAGCTTCTATCACCTGCACAGGAATACACAGGAAACCAACCACCTGCAAGTTCCCTTCCAAATCACACACTACCCAAGCATAGAACTATATCATGCTTCCTCACTGCCACTGGGCCCAAGTCTTAGAAGCCTGTCTGCAACAGTCTTATGGGCATACCTACACGACTTGGACTGCAGTGGCTCAAGACAGTTGACTATCTCTGGGGCAATTAGGGATGGGTAGCTAACGCAAGGCTTGCCAGTGACACTCCCATTCCAAGAACAAATAGAAAAATAGCACCAACTACCACTTGAAGAAGAATATTCTAGACCTTTACTCAAACTAATGGAAGACATTGATGTGCCAAAAATCAAGGAATATTACAGCTTGGAACATATGGTGTTTCTTTATTTGTTTATATAATGTGGCTAGGCCAACATTTATTGCCCATCTATAACTGCACAGAGGGCAGTTAGAGCTAACCACTTTCATACGAGTCTGGAATCATATGAAGGCCAGAACAGTTAAAAATGGCAAATTTCTTTCCTTCATGGTAGGATGAAAAAACACACTACAAAACGCAGCCTGGGCTTTTGCATTATAAATCCAGTGACATGACAATTACGCTGCCTTTCTTCAACATCTTGCCCGCTCTTCAACAGGTTTCATCGACAATCTACCTAGCATTCGACAAGTGGCTTCTCCAGTTATGTCCATTCCAAAGTGAGTTACACAAGAAATAAGCAGCAACAGCCTATATGGCCTTTCAAGCCTGCTCAGCTATTCAACATGACTAAAGCTGATTTGATCTTAGTCTCAACTCCAGTTCCCTGCTGGTTTCCCATAATCAACTCTCCTGCAGTTCAAAAATCTGCCCATTTCAGTCTTGAATACATTCAATGACTCAGTCTCCTCAAAGAGAATTCTAGAAGTCCATAGCCCTCAAAAGAAGAAATTCCTCCTCATCTGTCTTAAATTGACAACATCTTATGTTAACAGCATGAGTCATATAAAATGATAAATTTAAAGAGACAGTTCCAAGTTAAGATAGAATGATAAGAATTGTGTGAACTGTTCTTAAGTCTGCCTGACAACAGTCCTACAGTGTCTAAAGCTCATGGAAAGTCCCAGATTGTGTTACTGGGGTGATGGAGTAAGGTTCTCACTGCTGTTTTGCAACAATGGCAGCAGTCTGAGTTTAAAACAGGCAGACGGTCTCTCAACGTCCCAGAGAGGTGTCAATAATATTAGGTTGTAAGCCACTATATTGTAAATTATCCATTTAGTTCTGAGGTGAAAGAGAGTTGAGGCCAAGGATGGTTATTTAGCTCTGCTACCTAGAGACACGGCCCATCTGATTCATGTTGCCTTGGGAAGGATGCAGAGGAAGGCTATATGGTCAGCAGACAGAACAAGCTACTTGACTTTCCAAATGACCATAGTGGTGTGGGAGGAAGAGGCACGTCCAGCAGGCATCTAAGGATTCCAGAAAATTTATTCTGGCGTGGACAGACAAGACATATCAGAACAGGGTTTGCAGGTGGCAGTGGGTTAAGGATCCCTCTTAAAAACTATGGAAAGCACCTGGAGATGGTCATTCTAAATTATGACTTGACGAAATGGAGAAACCAAAACACATTGAAAGCTGGATTCTGCTGTGGACTAAAACAGAAAATGTTGGAGAAACTCAGCACGTCTGGCAGCACTTGTAGAGAGAGAAACAGAGTTAATGAGTCAATTCCAGTGACCCTTTGCAATTTTGGACTGTTTGGCACAAAGAAAATATATATGTGAAGTACTTGTGTGCGTTAAGTATAAAAGGAGACCATTTTTGTCTGTAAATTAAAATACAAGTTGCCTTCAAATAATATTTAGGGATTAATATTTTTCTTATCAATTTTTTAAAGAATAAGTGTTAAAAAATGAGAAATCTTTTCATCTGATGCTTTCAGCTATTAGACGCAAATTCAATTTTTTTTAAAAAAAGCTATCAATCAGTCTTCATAGGGATCGCAGCATTAATCTGAATCTATTCCCCCTATTTCTAACATCCCCCATGAGGGGAAACACCCATGTAGCACTGACTCACCACTCTAAGTTTGTGCTGTTGAAGTAGCATGTCCAGGTTGTGCCTCCTCTTGTAATTGAAGTAGAAATTCTTGCACTGTGCTTCGCTTTTGGTGCCCACCATCTTTGCAATGGCTGCCCAGTTCCGCCCATGTTCCACAAGTCCTAAAGTGAAAACGCGAAGAAACATGGTTTAAACCTTAATAAATTATAGATCTGCACAGCACAAAAAAGGTAATTCTTATTCCAAGCTGGTTCACTTTAGGACAGTCCAGTCAGTCCCACTTCCCTAAACAATTTCTGTGGCCATGCAAGCTGTTAGAAATTGGGTTTCCCTTTAAACCTGTGTTCATTCAGTATTCTATATTTGATATTTCAATTAACCATTGTTACAGTGGGTTACAAACCTTCCAAAAGCATGAAAAGATGATTATCAGGCTCCATACTACCCAATTATAAGTGCAATATTTTTAAAAAATAAGGCGGCATTGTTCTTAGAAGAAATGGAACCTAACCTTTAAATGGAGGTGTGAAAGGGGTCAATGGTCATCTGACATCATGAGTAGCTGTCCCATGGCCGAAAAGATTCAGACAATTGATTAACACAAAGCAAAAAATTACCTGCTCCTAGAAATAGGGTACATCAACTAGTGCTCAGGGCAGATGACAGTTCTCATCAGGCAGTGGTCCTCATAGAGCTGTCTTCTCTAGATTGAAGATTGACCAGAAGAAAAGGAAGGTGGCACGTGGAAGAGTACCCAACATTTCAGTGAGACAGCAGGATGTGCCTCCATTACTTTAATAGGACCAAAACGCACTGTGGCAAAAGCCCTGTCCTCTCTGGTGTCAGTGAATCATCCCCAATTGTCACGCTTGTATACTTTCTTTGTCTAGGTGACCAATGTATTCTATCTAAACTGCTGTTTTTTAACAAAATCAATAAACCATCAGAAAATTGCTTAAAAACTGTCAACTCCCTATATTAGGTACCTGTTGATTTTGGGTGCTCATGATAACAAAGTTTATTTCTAGTAAGTGCCCATGCAATTTCATTTTCAAAATCATTCACTGTTTCTACTTCCACCAGCCACACAGACAGCAAGTTCAGGTCCCCTAGTACTCGTACTATCAACTAATAGGATGATTTTTCCATGTCTACTTTGGTAAAACCTATCATAATTTTGCAAAATGTTATCAAATCCGTCCTTTGCATTCTTCAAGCTTTTCCAACTGAATGTTGTAGCTAAAATTCTTCATCTCTAGAACAATTCTGACACAGCTTCCAAAACACCTTCAAGGATCTGGACATTCTTCCCAAAGTGTGGGGACCAGAACTGCTGTAGATGCCCAAGTTGTGGTCTACCAAGAGAGGTTCAGCATAACTACCCTGCTTTTCTACTTAATGTCTTTTTTTTTTATGAAGTTCAAGATCCAAAATATTTTGCTATTTAAAGAACAAAGGGATTTAAGACAGGCTCAGCAAGTGGGCAACAGCAGATGGAATACCATGTGAATAAGTGAGAGATTATCCACTTTGGTAGGAGGAATGAAAGTCTGAAGTATTTCTTCAATGGAGACAGATGTGAAGGGGGATTGTCCAAAGCAGACTCAACATTATTTTTTGGGGAGATAGGGGTAACTACCATAGTGTTGCTCCCATATTTTGGCTAAAATAATGGCTAATTTGTTTGTGTTCTGAAATCCACATTTCCAACTACCCCAATAACTTTGGATTCTCATTAGGTAAGAAAATCAATCGACTTCTGCATTAACAATATTCAATAACCTGGCTTCAATGCCTTTGCCTTCTGAATGGAACACTACTCAGAAAAAGATTCTCCTGATCCCTGAACCAAAAAGGACAACACTGATTTTAATTCAGCGCCCCCTCGATCTGGGTGCATCCACAAGGGGAAATATCTGTTTGGCATACCCCTTCAGGATCTTATATACTTCAATCATGACACCACTCACTCTCCTAAACTCCCATGGGAGCAAGCCCAGTCTTTCTTCATAAGACAACCTACTTATTCCAGTTATCAATCTGATAAAGTTCCTCCGAATTGTCTCCAATGTATTTATTTTGTTCTTTGAAAAGGAGATCAGAACCGTGCACAGTATGAGAGTGGCCTCACTAATACCTTCTACAACTGACAAATAACATTTTATTTTATTACAAGAGGAATTGAGCACAAAAGGATGGCATTCCATTAGCTTTCTTAATTATTTGCTGCACATGCATACTAACTTCTGGTGAATCAATCTCTACAGCACCTAGATCCTTCTGCAATCATGTGATGTATCTTAGTGCAGTTGTATTACCAGATATACAGACCATACGGCCCAATGACTGATGGACCATAACAAGCATTATAGTCTTTTTGGCTGCTCACAACAGGCAGTGTACTGACGAGACCCAACTAGCCTATGTTTGCAAAACTAAGAACAGAGTTTCCAACATTTAATGCAATCCCATGCTGAGGCAACATTTGCTAAATAATCCTGACTGTACTAAGAATTGCAGTAACAACTAATTCACAGTGACAATTAGGCTTTCTGTGTGGTTTATGTACACAGGCTGGAAGCCACATATATTCACACGAGGCCATGTCTTTTGCAAAGACATGAAGAACAGAAACAAAGAACAGAAAGGTGGGCCTGTACTCACTGGAGTTTAGGACAATGAGAGGCAATCAGATTGAAAAATCCAAGATTCTTAGGGGACTTGGCAGGATAGACACAGATAGTTTGTTTCCCCTTGTGGGAGAACCTAGGACCAGAGGGTATAATCAGAGATAAGTGGCCATCCAGCTAGGGCAGAGATGAGGAGAAATTTCTTCTCTGAGGATAGTGAATCTGTGAAATTCTTTACTGTAGAGGGTTGTCAACGCTGGGTCATTAAGTATATATTCAAGGCCGAGATAAGTTTTTAATCAGTAAGAGAATCAATGGTTATGGGGAGAAAGGTAAGGAAGTGAAGCACAAGATTATCAGCTCAGCCATGACCTAATTGAATGGCGGAACAAACTTGATGGACTGAATGACCTTCCTTCATTCCTACATCTTATGGTCTAACATATCCAAACATTGCACCTTTTTTGAACTGAACAAAAGTTGGGGAATAACTGTGCCTGATGCATTCGCAAAGGTAATACTTCAGATTCTCATTAGGTAAGAAAATCGATCTACCTCTGCCTTAACAATATTCAATAACTTGCCTTCAATGCCTTTGCCTTTTGAATGGAACACCACTCAAAGATTCTCCTGATCCCTAAACCAAAAAGAGTCGAGGCTCCCTGGTTTGAAGTTAAACAAAAGCTTTACTGTTAACTGTTCCGTGGTGCATTCCCCACGGCAATGCCTCTGCCACAGTCTATTTTCCAACCAGTCAGCACCTGCTTCTCGTACAGTACAAACTGCTGATCCTTTTGGGTTTGGTATTTTTGAGATTCTGTTCCAAATATATGCAAAAAACGTTTGGCAGGAAGTGGAGAATCTGAAAATAGATTTAGGCAGATTTATTGAGTATGGAAAATTTGGTAGATGGAGCACAGAGTGGAAAAGTGTGAATTTGTACACTTTGGCAGGAAGGGCAGTAAAGCAGTATACCATTTAACTGTACCAGGCCTGCAAAATCTAGCCATACAAAGGGATCTGGATGTTCTGGTAAATAAATTGCAAAACATTAGTATGCAGGTACAGCAACTGACTGGGGAGGTAAATAATGTCATAGAGATGTACATCATGGAAACAGATCCTTTGCTCCTTGGTCGTCCATGCCGACCAGATATCCTAAATTAATCCAGTCCCATTTGCCAACATTTGGCCCATATCCCTCTAAACCCTTCCTATCCATGTACCCATCCAGATGCCCTTTAAATGTTGTAATTGTACCAGCCTCCACCACGTGCCCCTGGCAACTTATTCCATACACGCACCACCCTCTGTGTGAAAAAGCTGCACATTAGGTCCTTTTTAAATCTTTCCCCTCTCACCTTAAACCTATGCCCTTTAGTTTTGGACTCCCTCATCCTGGGGAAGAGACCTTGGCTATCCACCCTATTCATGCCCCCCAATTATTTTACCAACAAATTAAATGAATAAAATTGAAATGTTGTTGTTTATTGCAAGGAGTATAAAATATTAAGTAGGCACATTCCACTGCCACTGTACAGGACCTTGGTAAGACCAGATCTGGAGCACTGTAAGTAGTTTGGGTCTCATTTGAAAAGAGATTGCAATTGTGTGAGAAGCAGAGAAGGCTCACTCAACTTATTCCTGGAATAAAGTGTCATCTCATGGCTATCACAACTCACTGCGATAGTGTACTTGAAGTCAAGCCTCATTATTAACTGGAGTTGTCATAAATGTGAAATATGATTAAACCACCAAATTTCCTAATTCTACCCACTGTCTAATTAAAAGAACATGCATAGAAGACTTCTGGCATTAATAAGTAAACAACAATTAAGTGCACATAAATTGTCTTTAACCAAATGCCAAAAGGAAACATGAATTGTTAACTTACTACATAAACACTCCCTTTCTTGAAATTCTGACACACACACACGAAAAGAAGAGATGCAAGGATTATAGATGAATTAAAAACAAGTCAGTGATGCACAATTGTGGCACCAGTCCAAATCACAGTTGTTGTTTACATCCACACTGCCATTAAGAGAGGCTGTTTCAGGATTTTGACCGAGTGACAGTGAACACACATGTTTCTATTTGGCGCCTTCCAGTTCCATTCGACTACTGATGACAAGAGGTTGTGAACACACCAATTCTTCATTTTTTGATAACTGGTTGAGGAATTGCTCCTTCAGTGAATCTGAACGTTTTTTTTTTTAAAAACCCCTTTTCCTTTAAACAGAGGATTTTGCAGAGGCACCAGCTTATAGAGAAAGGTGATGGAACATAGTCGCGACTAAAGATTTTCCTCTACATCTCTACACAAAAAGGGAAGAGAGAGAGACAGGGACATCTTCTTTTTGCAAGCCAAATGTTTCTGTTTTATTGCCCATACACAAGGTTGCAGCCACGAGCGCAGAAACCAATATAATGTTACTATGCAGAGCTCACAAACCTACAACTGGTGCCTTTGCTGCCACAGAATTATCTTGTAAAAGGGGTAACTTGGCCCACTGTGCCTGAACTGGTTC